CATGCTGCTGGAATGCACAAGGAAACCCTGTCATTTTTACTGAGGTTCTTTTGCTATTTGATAAGCCAGGCCACCCAATGAGGTGCAATTTCCACCAGAATTTTAGCAAGCATTGACAGGAAGCACTGAAGCTCTCCTAGATAGGACAGCTCTGAGCTGGGGCCAATTCCAAAAGCCAGCTTGGTTCTTCTCATGCATCCAATGAAACTCAAGACTGCCACAAGCTGTCTGGGGCACAGAAGTGGAGCTGATTCCCAGTATCATAACATTAAAGAATCCCATTTTGTGCAGGCAAGGGCTTCCTTCAAAGACAAATGGAGACTCAGGAACTAAAGCGAATTATGGTGAAGTCAAATGTAACACTTTTACAGGAAAAAAAAACACTCCGCCGATGAGGACACCCACTATGCCGCTGCCCTGAAACCTTACCTGTGTTACAGCACTGCCCCTTTCATGTTTCAAAGCCGTGCTTTGAAATGGGCATTGGCAAACCACGCTACTTTCCCTTTCTACAGCAGATCCAGTGCCAAACTTCTCTCCTTCCTGCCGCAAGCCCAGAACCCTGCGGTCCATGCGTGGGCTCTCCTCCCTTCCCCCTGCTCTCTGTGCGCTGCACTCACCTGCACAAAGACGCAGTCGGTGGACGCTGCAGCTGCAGCACTGGCGCTGAGAGTCAGAGGTCCTCCCTGGGCAGGGGGTGAACACTGCAGGGTGACTGCAAAATTCAAACACAGGGATCAGACTGCCAGAACTGCTGCCCAGGGTGCACAGTTCTATTGCTTACTTGCATTAAACACTGCAGTAACCACTCCGTAAGCTAACTCCCTGAAATGGATTATGACCTCCCCACTGATTGTAAGACTGACTTCTCCACCTTAAAACATATTTCTCCTAAAGTATGTAGACATATTTCAAACATACGTATTGTAGAATTAACCAACACACACACACACGGGATCTTCATATTCACTCTTCTCTGTCTTAATATCACCTTTTTGATTTGGCTGCTTGACTGTCTCAACACGACACACCACAGAAAGGGGATTCACAAAGGAAGGGCCTGCATGTTCACACACACACACCAGAATGAAAATGGGATCTTATTCCAAAAAGCAGCTCTGTAGATGAAGCAGTTTCTGCGGGTCTCAGGTTCTGGTGACACGCAGACAGAACTTACAAGGAAAGGCACTACTGGCAGGACAGACAATCTGTAAAATCTGCAGTCCTTCTGGGCGAGAGAGAAATCCTTGATGAAATCAAATCTTGGCCAATGTTCACAGTAATTAAATGGTACAAATGTGACTTGAGATGGCCACGTGATCAGACCCGTTTCTTTTCAATGCCTGACACCTACGCGGGATTCCTCACGAGACAGTTGCTATGATAACCAATATGGATTTTAATCCCTATACCAATTGCCCTTTTTCATACAAAATCGAGGAACTTTTGTCCAGTTTGGAGCAACAAACACAAGAGCTAAATAACATGGAGCGAGCTCGTGGACATCCTTCCACAGCAGCACGAGACACGTGTCTGACTCCTGTTACTTCCAAAGCTTATTGTGAGCAACCTTAGGATGAAATCTGGACATCTTTCAGAAGAACACTCTGTGACCTGCAAACATATTACAGATCTGCAATGTGCCAAAAATCTCATGATACCTGGGCCTCAGTCCCTCGGAACGCCAAAGCATGTTGACAAACCCAAGAAAACCCCCAAAGAAACCTAAAGGGCTACTGTAAAAACAGGGTGAGAGAGCAAAGCAGAGATTGGCTGTAACCTGCTGGAGTGATCCTAAGGAAACAAACATGTAGTACAAAGAGCCTAGTTCCTAAGAGAAGAAAAGGAAGAACCCAAAGGGAAAAAGCACTTGTGAAACAGGAGGCAAGTGTAAAACACAAAGTCCAGATCACAGGCTATAAAAAGCTACAAGTAGAAATTGCACAACTCTTGCACTTAGTAGAGCTTATACGGAAAGCAGCTCGTGAATCAAACGTGCTGTAATGCCTGTACATCAAGGGGAGGAGAACAAACATACCCGTGTAGCAGCCCAGCCTGGAGACCAATTCTGAATGGGTCTGAAGTGCGGAACGGTGCACAAAAGGAATGCTTTGCACTCAGAACACCTTTTCTTGGGGTTTTTTGCCAACTGCAGCAGTGCCTGATCTAACAGCAAGAAAAGCTGCACCTGTGGAAATCCCACTGATGGGCTCGGCCGGCAAAGGGGCCAATTCATTTGTAATACTTCAAGTCTTCCAGCTGAATCAAGATTCCACACACACCTGCTTCACCCACACACTTTTGTCCTTCCCTGCTCATTGCAGAGAAGGCATTTCTAAGCTCTTCTGTCTCTGATACAGTTCATCTCATCAGAGCCAGAAGGAATGAGCAGCTAAAGCACATTCTGTCACCGGCTGGTAGCAAGTAACGGACAGGGAACACACATCTCACTGCAAGCACACACGTCAGATACACACGCAGTGGCAGAGCACTGGGGAAAAACATTTCATGCACCACTTTGCAGGAACTTCTCGAGCAGCAAGTGGAGAACTTTTGCCGTACGTGTTGGATCCCGGCCTTGCAAGCACTGCCCTGGAGATGCGCAGCTGCCGGGTTCTGGAAGGGCAGCACCAGCTGGAGCCCATCGCTGAAGTGGCAGAAGGGAGCACACGGTCTGGAGAGTGTACGTGACCTCGGTGCAGCACGTGTTGAGGACAGGAAAGGGAGCCCCCTGGCCTGGGAAAGCTGGGGAAGCCCAGTGCCCTGGCAGCGACCCAACAGAACCCTGCCATGTTCTGGAAGGGGCCGGAGGCTGCTGGGAAGTTGTTTCCTGGAAAGCAGGGTGGTTCTGGCATGAGGCCGCTCTGTTGCAGCTAGGAAAGCAGCTGTCTGGACAAGGTTGTGGAGCCTCTCCTGAAGTCACCAGTCCTGCAAAACAAAGGGAAACAAGGACTAAGGGAAGGAGTTTTCACTAGCCCTGAAAGGCAGGATGAGGAGCCAAGGCTCCACAACATTCCCTGGGAAGACCACCTTTGCTCCAATATTCTTAATCCAGAAACAGACTCTATTATTACACCTAAACATAGAGTAACTGCTGTAGCACTACCACCTGAACACACAGGAACATCAGTGCTGCGCCAACACACAGACATCTCTGGAGCACTCAGCCTCCTGAAACCCTCAGGAGCAAGTGGCTTAGAAAAGTGCTATTACAAATCAAAATGGGCAGGAGCTGACTAAACCGGCGCAAGCCATTTAGGAAGTGCTGCGTGTTACATCAGGCAGTAAGGTAAAATGAAGGGGGAATGGTGAAGCAGGGCTCTACCAAACTCCAGTGCTGACAGCACACGGGCAGCCAAGGCAAGGGCAATGTCCAAATCCTAAACGTGACTCTGAGAGCACTTGATCACAAGTCATTCAGCTTGTCAAGGAAAACAAAACCAAAGCCAGCTTTTTCCCAGGTAGCTCAACCTAAACACTCAGACTTTGCCATTTTGTTACTTCCAAGATATTCCCTTTCGTCTTCCCTGGTTTCCTCTCTCAGTCAGTTATGGTTTCATGGAATGGTACTTGCCCTCATACGGTCGGTTACCCATCGCTTCACACAGATTTAACGACAGCTTATGGAGCAACCCTTCAAGGAGAAGTAACGGTCATCTGGTAGGCCTGTGCCAGCTCCACAGAGACAGGGTGAGGGTGCTCTTACTGCAGCCCCCGACAGAGGCTGTCTTGCAGCCGAGGGGCAGAGCAAACCACCCGCGAACCTCGCTCCCCGTGCCTGCTGGCACCGCATCTCCCTGCACGAACAACAACGGCTTTCCCGCACCGGCGGAGCTGAGCGGCCGCCAGCAAGGTCAGGCAACCCTGCTCCGTGCGGGGGTGCTGATCGCCAAACCCCAGAGCACCCAGTGCTTCTCGGCCCGCAGCCCGGGGCCACCCCAGCTCACCGGGTCTGGCAGCCTCGCCGAGCGTCGAGGGCGAGCACTGGGAGAGCTGGGCCGGGCGGCTGGGCAGCTCCAGGCCGGCCGCCAGCTTCGCTTTGTTGGCGCTCGTCCGGCGCTTGAGGTGCACGAGTAGCTCGGGGCGGTCGCGGCGGAAATGGGGGCTGTAGAAGTGGAGCAGGGCCCCGGCAGAGCTGCCGCAATCGCCCCCCGCCGGGTCCTGCAGGGGCCCGGGCCCCGGCCCCAGCTTGTGAAACCCGTACAGGTTCAGCTGTCTGATGATGCTGCCGAAGTTCTTGGTCTTAAAGAACTCGGCGGCCAGCGCCGCCCCGTCGCCGGCCGCCTCCGCGCCCAGCAGCTCTCGCTCGAAGAGCCGCTGGTCGATGAGCAGCCCCTCGCCACGGGCATCCCAGCGCACGGAGCCGCAGCGCGGGCTGTTCACCAGCTGCCAGAGCTTGGCCGGGAAGTGGCTGGGGTTGACAGCGCCGGGCAGCCGCTGCCCCTCCATGGCGCTCCCCGACAACGGACGCACCGGCCGCTCTCGCTGCACCGGCCGCCAGGCAACGCCCGGCCCCGTCGGCCCGCGCTGGGGGAGCGACACCGGCCCGCGCGCCGCCCGGCACGGGACCGGCTTCAGCCAGCGCTGCCCGCCGGCCCCGGCCCCGCCTCGCCCTCGGCACAGCCGCACCCGCAGCACCGCCAGAGCCCGCCGGGCCCGCAGCGGCTCCCCGGTCCCCCAGCCCCGCCGGTCCCCTCGGCCGCTCCCCGCTCCCTCAGCCCCAAGAACAAAATCAGGGCAAGAAGTTCAAAAACAAACCTGCAGCAACAAGACAAAAGCTCAAATCTCATCACTAGCAACAGCTCATCCCAGCTCTCCAACAAACTTTGCTCCTCTAGAACTAGACAGGGAAAAGGGAAACGCGAACCAGCAGTGATGCACAACGCAACTGCTCAGCACCCGCTCAGCGGTACCCAGCCTAACCCGAGGGGCGACCTGCGCCTTCCGGCTGACTCCCCCCACTTTATGTACCAGGTGTCCTGGCTCTGCTTCCTCCAGGATTCCCCTGCCCCTCCTCACTGGCACAGCAGGAGAGACTGGAAAGTCCTTGCTCAGCCGAAGTGCTACTCAGTAACAGCTAAAACAGCCGTGTGCTACCAGCGTGCTTCCCAGAACCAAGGCAGTACACAGCACTGCGCCAGCCGCAGGGAAGAGAATCAATTCTGGCCCAGCCAAATCCAGGACAGTATCCACACCTTATTCCACCGTTCCCTTCATGCCAGGTCAAACTAATTCTTCATAGGTTTAACACCTTCAGAAAAGAGCCAACATTCTTTCTGCATACCACTCTAAGGGCAGCAAGCAAATTCCTTGCACTTTTCCTTTCTCTGCCGGGCTGTTGTTCTTAGACCTCAAGGAAGAAGGCAGCACTAAACTCTCCCTCATAAGCACACAGAGGGCTCAAGGCAGCAAGTGGAGAAGCCAAAGAGAAGCCCATGTACATCAGCAGACCCCAGCACTCCAACAAAACAAAAACTCCTTTCTTCCCAAAGGAAAGACAAATTCAACTCACAGTTTTCCTCTCAGAAAAAAAACACAATAAAATGAACCCAGCTCCCTGCACACCTTCCTCTCCAAGCCCAACTCTCCCAGAACAATCAGCAGCTTCAGAGAACCTTCTGGTGCCTGCTAAGGGTAACAAAGCCCACTTGTGAGCACCCTGCTCCCACTCTTCTCACTGCTCATTCTGTAGCTGAAGCCCACCGAAAATAATCCACTGGGGTTTATGAGGAGTAATGGAAATATCAACTTCATTCCTACACATGGGGACCTCCAGAAAGGTGCCCCCAACACGGCAATCTGCCCTTGCCTTGCCACCTTAAACACCACTGCCGTACTGACCCTCTGTTGCATCACTTTGGTGTGCTGGAGCACGGCTCCACAGTGCCAACATCCAGCTGCTGTTCCCAAGCACGTAGCACCAGGACAGAAAGCAGTCGCTGAGCATCACCTAAACAGGGAAACCTGCAGAAGGGTGCCGCCAACACGGCAAAGAGACCTTGTTTGCCACCAAAAGCACCATCTGCGTTCTGCCCCTCTGCTGAATGCAGACAGGTGGCCTGGATCATGGACACACGGTGTGCCAGGACAGAAAGCTCACGCTGCACATCACCTACACAGGTATACCTTGGGAACAGGGCCACCAACGTGGGAATCCAGCCTTGCTTAGCCACATAGAAGTGCATCTGCGTGCTGCCTACCCAGTGCACTCTCAAGTGCCACAGAGCCAAGCTCCCTAAGTGGAAATGTCCAGATCCTGCTCCTAAGGCTAACATGTTAGAACAGAAACAAGTAACTGGACATGTTCTACACAGGGAGTCCTCTGGAACAGTGCTACCGACATGGATATCGTCACTTACTTACACACGTAAAACCCCCTCCCTGTAAAGCCTCACTGAACAGCACTCTCTGATGATCAACAAAACATCTCCCAAAGTGCAAACATCCAAATTATGATGCTCAGCATACCATAAGAAACAGAAAGCTGGTGCTTGGCATCACGTAAACATGGTGCCTTCCTCACCACTGACACCAACATGGAAATCCGCCTTTGCTTAGCCACCTAAACCACACAGGGCAGCACTCTCAGACACCCCATAAACCAGGTCCCTATGTGCCAATATCCAGACCCTGCTCCTAAGCCTCACGCCTTAAGACAGAAACAAATAGCTGGACACGTTCTACACAGAGAGCCCTCTGGAAGGGTGCCACCAACATGGATATCCTCACTTACTTAACTCGCATCAAACTCCATCTCTAAAGCCTCACTGGACACCACTATTCAGTGATCGAGACACCAGCTCCCTGAGCGTGAATGTCCAGACTCTGACGCTAAGCCTAAGGTGCCAGGACAGAGAGACGGTGCTGGGCATCACCTACAAATGGCGCTCTCTGCAACAGTGCCACCAACAGGGCAATCCATTTGGGTGGCAGCCCCTCTCTTTTTTTTCTCCCTAGGTTTTTTCCCCATGGTTTTCGTTAACCCCACGGTTATTTTATCCCCACGTTTTCCCCCTTCCAGTTCCCCTCCTGCTTCCGTTTTCACCTCCCCCCCATCCCCCTTTTTTAAATTATATTTTCCCCACAGGTTTCTCTTTTCTCTCTCCCTCCAGAGTTGTTCGGGGATTTTTTTCCTTCCGTTCCCCACCCCCAGTTCTTTTCCATAGTGTTTTTTGTTCCACGCTTTTTTCCCAGACTTCCCCCCCCCCGCATTTTACTCCTCCTCCCTTTTTCTCTCCCACTGTTTCCTGGCTGGGTTTTTCTCCCCAAGTTGGTGTGGGGATTTGGGTGCAGTTTTTGTTTGGTTGGGGTTTTTCTTTTTTCCATGTTCCTTTTTTTTTCCTGGATTTTTTCTCCACCTTTTTCTGTTCAAGATTTTTTCACACCCCCCCCCCCCGAGTTCTTTCCCCTCCCCCCCCACTACCATTTTTTTCTCTCCACTGGTTGTTGCGGGGGGTTCTTTTTTTCCAGTTTCTCCCCCTGCCTTTTTTCCTCCCCTCCACACTTCACCTCCCCCCCCCCCCCTTTCCTTTTCTTTTGCTGGGTTTCCCTAGTTTAGTGCTTTTTGTTTGTTTTGGGTGTTTTTTGAGGGGGGCAGGTGGTGTGGGTTTTGTTGGGTTTCTGGGATTGTTAAGTTTTGGGGGTTTTTATTCTGGTGTTTCTTACCCCCAAGTATTTTTTGCGTTTTGTTTTTTCTTTGTTCCTTTTTTCCGTTTTTTATTACGATTATTTATATTTTGCTGGATTTTATCTATATTTTTTATCAGTGTATTTTATCCACTTTTTCACACCGCCCCCCCTCCTCTCTTCTGGTTGGTGAGGTTTTTCCACACAGCCCATCCCCTGTCTCCCCTCCCACTTTTCTCCCCCGTCCCTTCTCCCGCCGAAATTTCCCCCTCCCCACCTTCCCCCGCCCCCCCCAAGTTGGTTGATTTCTTCCCCACAGTGTTGGGGTTATTCCTCCCCCCCCTTTTTATTTTGGCTGGGATTTTGCTCCAAGCTGCCGTAGGGTTTTGGGTGGAGTTTCTGTTTGTTCGGGTTCCCCCCCCCCCCTTGTTGTTTTTTTTTTCCGGGTTCTTTTTTTTCCAGGATTTTTTTCCACTTCTTTTTTCCTCTCCATTTTTAACCCCCTTTTTTCCCCCTCCCCCCCACCTTTTTATCTCTACCAGTTGGTAGCTTTTTTTCCAGTTTTCCTACCCTGCCTTTTTTCTCCTCTCCTCCACACTCCACCATAGTTTATTATTATTTTGTGTATATGTTGCTGGATTTTATCCGTATTTTTTTCCACTTTCCCCCTCCCTTTTTCCCCCCTCTTCTGGTTCGTGGGGTTTTCCACACTGCCGCCCCCCCCCCACCATCCCCACTTTTCTCCCTGTTCCACTTTTCTCCCCTGTCCCTTCTCCACCCAAAACCCTTCCCAACTGGTTTGGGACATTTTGCCTCTCCCCCCCCCCCTTTCGTTTTGTTTTTTGCTCTGTGTGCACACGCACATGTTTTTTGTTTTCAGGTTTGTGGCAAAGGAGGAAAAGGCGCTCGTTTTTTTGTGCAGGTGGGTTTGCTATCTCCCCCCCCCCCCCTTTTTTTTTTTTGAGTTTTTCAGGTTGTTTTTTCTCTTTTTCTGATTTTTATTGAGTTGTTTGGTTTGGTTTTTTTCTTCCTGCATTCTTTTCTCCCCACTTCACAGCGCCCCCGCCCCAGTTGGAGCCCACAGGCCCTGGCACCACCTGCCCACAGGGGCACCACCACCTCCAGAGGGACGTTTGTCTCCTCTCAAATGGGCTCCCCCTGGCCAGGGCAGAATTCCTTTCCTTCCCAGCAGCTCACATGGTGCTGTGGTTTAGTTCTGACCAGAACAGCCCAACACAGCCATGCAGCTTTTGCTGAACAGCATTTGCACAGCGCTGAGGCCTCAACAGGGAATGCTGCAGGGTGTACAGCAGGCTGGGAGGGGACACCCCCAGGCAGGTGACCCAGGCTACCAGAACAGGGATCATGCTCAGCAACGAGAGAAAAGGAAGGGTTTTAGGAGGATTATTCATCTTCTGCTCAGAGACTGGCATCAGCCTACCCACAGGAGGTGCCAGTGGTTGCCTCTGCCTCACTTGTGTTATTTTCTTCAGTTCTTGCACTTCTCAGACCATTTTTTCTTTTTAATCTTGACACACACCTCCACACACACACTTCCTTGCTTTAGTCCTCCATCCCCTATCACAGCAGGAGCAAGTGCAATAGAGGAAGCAGCTGTGTGGTGCTTTGCTGCCCACCAAGGACAAGGTCACAGTCCCTCAGCTGCACAGTCCAGCTCTGAAGCTGCTCCTGCTTTGAGCACAGAAACTTCTCCCAGTCTAACCCATCCTATGGAGCAAGGCACAAGCTTCTTTATTCCAAACCTCCCTCATAGAAATAGCTCTCAGTTTGCTAACAGCGAGTGCCACAGGGAAAAAAACCACCCGGCCCGGTCCCCGAACAGCCACAGCCCCAGGAGGTGGATTTGTGTGCGAAATTAACACCACAGGTAACTCCACCAGGCTAGAACTCCGTGCTATCCTGGGGGATGCACAACAGCACACTGCTTTGTAGCAGTTGTGTCGTTTCACTGAAGCCTCACACAGGCAGAAGGAGAGAGTCACCGTAGCTTAATCACAGGTAGAGAAATAAAGTGTAACAGGAGCAAGAACACCACCGGCAGCTGTGCACACCCAGCACCGTCCCTCAGGGCAAGGCAAACGCTTCCAAGCCCCCGCACCGCACCTCATGGGCCGGCTGCGGCACACACAGCCTCGGGTTAGCAGCGAGGTGCTTTGCTCGGGGTGGTTTTCAGCTCTCCTCAGAGTGCCCGCGGGCCCGCGCACCGCGCGCTCGATTCCCAATGGCTGCGCGCGCAGGCGCCAGTCACCGTTTCCCGGCGGGAACCGGCGGCCAATGGCTGTGCGCTGCGGAGACCCGCCGGGGACGTGCCCCGACGGCGCGGCGTGCACGGGGCTCTGTGGAGCATGGACGGGCCCCGGTGTTTGCATTGAGCCGGTGCAACGCGTCCCGTGCTGGCAGGGCGGGCACCGGGCTCACCCCACTGAACGGGCAGCACAAGGCTGGGGGCAGGCGTGCCCCCTGCCAGGAGAGGGACGGCAACCGCAGGACGAGGGGGAATGGCTCCCAGTGGAAACAGGGTAGATTTAGGTCAGCCTCTAGGAAAAAACTCCTCACTAGGAGGGTGGTGAAGCACTGGCACGGGCTGCCCAGGGAAACTGTGGCTGCCCCATCCCTGGAGCTGCAAGGGCTGGAGCAGCTCTGCTCTGGAGCCAGGCTGAGAGAGCTGGGCTGGTTCAGCCTGGAGAAGGCTTCTTAAGGAGAGACCTTAGAGCAGCTCCAGTGCCTAAAGGGGCTACAGGGACCCTGGAGAGGGGCTTTGGACAAGGGGGAATGGCTTTAACCTGCCAGAGGGAAGGTAGAGTTTTAAGGTCTCCTCCAACCCAAACCATTCTGTGATGCCACAAGGTGCCCAAGGAACCACCGCACACCAGTCAACAACAACAACATGGGGCTCTACCACAAGGTAACAACCACAACAAAGACCATGCCTTTCTCCAGGCTGAGCTGCTGCTGCTCTTCCTTCCAAAAGAAAACATACCCTGCTGCCCTCTCCACCTACTCCTATAAGGGCTGATCCTGGCTGAGACAAAAACCCACTCTTTTTCCCCAGCCCAGGTTTTATAGGCTGGAGCCTGCCCTGATTTAAACACCATCACCTGGACACTGAACTGGGATGAGCTGATGGAAGGAGCAGGTCCTCAGAGGTGCTGGTGGGAACACAGCCAGCCTCAGGTGCAAGTGACCAAGGGGACATGGTAGGAGAACCTTGCTGGAAGGGGTAGAAGGACTTGGAAGAGTTCAGCATTGAGTTTGGGGGTTCCCAAGGAGTCGGTTGTGTAACTGGGGCTCACCTAATGGCCCAGCAGCCTTGCAAAGCATGTCAGGGCTTCACAAGTTGTTCTGGATCAGAAGGGAAAGGGAGGGATGCGAAGGAAAGTCACCCCTTCCCATGTGCCCGATACACGGATTGACTCCACAACTTGTTAAAGTTGTAAAGTAGGTATGCTTTTTATTCAGCGCTGAGACGCACGGGGATAATTCCTCAAAGTCATGCTTCCCTCAGTGTTGTTTCCCTCTACATTTGTTCTCTAAAGTTATATATATTCATACAGTTGCACAATATGCCTATACATATTCATGTCTTACCCCAGTTTGGATTACAGTGAGCTAGAAGGTCCTTTGCGCCTGCACAGTGCCTCTTCTGGTAGTGGGTAGGGGTCTCAAGACGAAGTAAATGAGTCTTCCTCTTCTTAAACTTTTCACCTTTTAGTCTTCACGTATGGCCTTAGGGTTTGGTCATTATCCCAGCCATAAACCGTCTGCTTCTCCCCCTTATCAGTAGATTCAGGCATCTGCTTTTCCTTATCAATAGCTGCTTATGAGTAGAATCAGGCATCTGGTTTTCCTTGTCAATAGAAGCAGGTGTCTGCTTTTCCTTACCAATAGTTAATGCCTTTATTCTGCTTAGTAGGCGTGATAGGTACAGACAATACTTTTGTTAAAGCAAGCATTGTTATGGATGGTTCAGTGAAGGTCTCTGCTCAATGAAAGCAAAAAGGGGAACACAGTACTAAGCTATAGAAGGGATGAGACTAACACTGATAGCATTTATAATGCACTTAGGTACAGCAGTAATACTGTTCTTGAAACATTATGCAACAAAAAGTGGTTAAGTCCAGATCTGGTGCCACCAACATAAGAAGGACATGGAGCTGTTGGAGCATGTCCAGAGGAGGCCACAAGGATGATCTGGAGCACCTCCTGTATGAAGACAGGCTGAGAAAGTTGGGGCTGTTCAGTCTGGAGAAGGGAAGCTGCGTGGAAACCTCATAGCAGCCTTCCAGTATCTGAAGGGGGCCTATAAGGATGCTGGGGAGGGGCTCTCCATTAGGGACTGTAGTGATAGGACAGGGAGTCATGGGTTTAAACTTAAACAGGGGAAGTTCTGGTTAGGTATAAAGAACAAGTTCTTTACTATGAGGGTGGTGAGACACTGGCACAGGGTGCCCAAAGAAGTGGTAAATGCTCTAACACTGGCAGTGTTCAAGGCCAGGTTGGACAGAGCATTGGGTGACACGGTCAAGTGTGAGGTATCGCTGCTCATGGCAGGGGGTTGGAACTGGGTGATCTTAAGATCCTTTCCAACCCTAAGTATTCTATGATTCTGTATAGGAGGCAGTGGTCCAGAGGGCACCCGGTGTAGAACATGCCCAGCTATTTGTTTTTTCCTAATATATTTGGTTTAAGAGCAGGGTCTGGAGATTTGCACTTAGGGACCTTGTTTATGGAGCATCTGAGAGTGCTGCCTGCGAGGTCGTACACAGATGGAGGTTTACATGGCTAAGAAAGGGTGGATTGCCATGTTGGTGTCACTGTTGCGGAGGGCACCATGTATAGCTGATGCTGGGCATCAGCTTTCTGTCCTGGCACCTTAGTCTTAGCACTGGGATCTGGGCATTTGCATTTAGGGAGCTGGTATCTCGGTCACCAGAGAGTGCTGCCCTGTGAGGCTTTACATGGATGGATTTTTAGGTGGATAAGGAATTGAGGATATTCATGTTGGTGGCACTGTTCCGGGGGGTACAATGTGTGGGATATGCTCAGCTCCTTGTTTCTGTCCTAACACGTTAGGCTTAGGAAAAGGGTCTGGACATTTGCACTTAGTGACCTGATTTATTGTGTGTCTAAGAGCACTGCCCTATGTGGTTGTACACAGGTGGAGGTTTGCACGGCTAAGCAAGGGTGGATTTGCCATGTTGGTGTCACTTGCAGAGGGCACCATGTATAGCTGATGCCCAGCACCAGCTTTCTGTCTTGGCACCTTAGGCTTAGTATCAGGATCTGGATGTTCGCAGTCCAGTGAAGTCTGTGCTTTTTTTCACATACTAATTGTTGTTTGTCTTTGCGTGCTTGACAAGCAGAGCATCCGTGTTTAGGTAACATAGGCCTATGTTATACATGGAGCATCCGATCGGATACACTTGAAATTCCTTCCCTGTTATGGAGAAGATCAAAGCACAGTGGTAAATGAAGCCTGCATGAATCCATGATGAACAGGGAAAACAGCAGTGCTGGTGATCCTTCAGCATGGATCAAGCTCCATGATGCCTGTGTCCCTGCTTATGTGGCTCTGCCTGGGTTCTGCCCAGGAGATGTCTTTGTTAGTTCCAGCAATTGTCATCTGAATGCAGAGATGTTTGTCAGTTCTGTAATCAAAACTTGAAATATTCCTGGTTACATGTTCTCATGTTCTTCTAATGCTGCTTCAGTGAGATTACCCCTGAGGGTAGAAGGATCACAAAACTAAACCAGATTTTGTTAAATGGAAATAACATAACAATGGTAAGTCATCGTGGTTAAAAGGCTGCATGCATTTATTTTCTGTACCTGTAAGTCTGTCAGCAGTTAAATTACTTTAAGCTGAGCTTTCCAGAGAATTCCATTGCATAAGGTACTTTCAGATACCTTGCAGGGCATATTTGTCTACGAGTGGTGCTGGAAAAGTGGTGTTATTGCCTTACTTGGCTTATGTTACAGTTTAGAAAGAATAATAAGAAAAAGAGCATGACCCTGTTTTTACTTAGGTGACTGTTTTTCCAGTCTTGAGATGTGCAATGGACTCGCTGGTTTTGTTACCCACTCTGGAGGCTGGTTCATACAGTGGCTTTAAACTCCTGTGAGTGTTTGCATGCCTAAGTATGTAGGTGGAATAGATTTTATCCATAATTTTATATATAAATGTGTTTGCAGCAGTTTGGATGCTTACAAGCTTGTTGTGTCATTTGCTGATGATTATCCATCTGATGCTCAGAGAGCTGTATGTAACTTTTATGTGCTCTGAAAAAATATCTGGAGGCCTGTTGATGGATGCCAGGTGGAAAGCACTAGGGGTTTTATCATGTGCTGATGTATGCAGATCAGTACTGAAACAGTAATTAGATATTACGATTATGCATCCTTAAGCTGGATTCTGCAACTTCCTAAATACTACAGAAGCAGACCCAGAGTTTTTTGTTTGTTTGCACTCAAGTCTGGAATTCCTCCAGAAGGGCATTCCCAATATTGTAGGAAGAGAAGAGGAAGACTGACTTAGACTCCAGTTGGCCCTGTGTGAAAGAGGAATAATCTCCATTTTGCTGTCGTACCTGCCTTGCACCTCCTCGCTGTGTGTCTCAGCAAGTGCTATCTTGACTTCATTTCTAATCCTTTTTCTGCTTTGGTTATTGTTCTGCATCTCTGAGGGACAGTGCGTGTTCTGACTCCTTGTATGGGGTAAAACTACTACCATCCAGTTCAGCTGGTGGGATGCTGCCCATGAAGCAGAAGCTGGGGATTCTTAGAGTGCAGATTTTCAGCAAGACATGGATGTGTTTCTGGATTAGATCTGGTGTCTCTTCTGGGGACACATCTTCCCACATCAGGAATACTGTGCTTTAGACTTTTTCTTACTTTGGTCCCAAAAGCAGCAGAGCTCTTTGTCTGTAGAAGCGCTCAGCTAACTATTAAGAATGTGTCAGTGAAAGAAATTATCCTCTTCTTTTTTTCCCTTTAGTCCTATTTTTCCTTTTGCGTTTCTTTTTCTGATGTTCAGTTGTTTACTTAAAGAAACTTCTTTACTTTCTTCACAGGAGAATGCTGTGCTGACTTACCCTGCTGCCTGTAGAAGGGTTCAGGCTCTATTAGTTTTTGGGCTGTGCTTAGCAATAGGAGTCAGAAAGGGGAAACCAACTTCCCCGTATAGCGACAGTCTGCGGAAGAATGAGCAATTGGTGAAATCCTGCATGAAAGGAAGCATGTTCTATGTCTTTCTGAAAACAAGCTGTAGTGTTTGTAGACAAAAAAAATCTCCTTGGAGTGAATAACAGAGACAAAACCCAAAACGTGTTTTATCTAGGAACTCCTTTGTGTCTTGTTAAACATTCTTTGT